GGACTGATGCTGAAGCTGAAACTCCTAATACTTTGGCCACCTGATGCAAAGAACTGACTAATTTGAAAAGACCCTGATGCTAGGAAAGATTGCGGGCAGGAGGAGAAGGGGATGACAGAGGATGAGATGGTTGGATGGCATGAGTTTGAGCAAGCTCTGGGAGATGGTAAAGGACAGGGAAGCCTGGCGTGCTGCAGTCCACGGGGTAGCAAAGAGTCAGACATGACTGAGCAACTGAACTGAACTGAACTGACATGAGGAAAGCTGAGTGGTTTTTCAGTTTCATGATTTTATTGTATTCCCTAAATTCTTTATAGTGGTAATAGCTAGAATTTTTAAGAAATAATAAGTACCATTGTTAATTTAAAAATTCATGTCCACTGTTAACTACATTGGCTTAAGGCATATGAATGCCTTAAGTTAACTTTGATTGTATCTTTCTTTTCCTTTGTTCAGACTACTTTCAGGGAATTTGAGGAGGTGGGTTTGGGCACAGACAGTTAGGGTATATAAGGTTTTCACAAAAACTGGCTAGGGTCCTTGAGTAAGAGGAGACTCTGCCTTGGGCCCACCAGTGTAATAAACTGCACTCTGCAATCAATCAATCAATAAATAAATAAATAATAAAAATTCATATTTTTTAACAATAGGTCATTTTCTTTAAATAAATGTAGCATCTCTTTGAGGTTATAATTTATCATCAAGTAGTGGTAGGTGACAAAATGCCTTCACAAAATTTAGAAAGTATAAAATAATCTTATTTGATATTAGGTGTGCTCTAAATTATGCAAAATTTGCCAATTTAAAATTATATAAAACTGATTATTCCTTCAAAAACAAAATGATTCTTAGAAAATAATATATTCTCTACTCACAGAGGGTTGTTAATAACTGCTTTCAATGCATTAAGCAGATCTGCACTTGTCATTCTTCTCAAGTCTACTGCAACAGCTGCCCCTTTGGCTTTCAGACGAGCAACATTATCATGCTGATCAGCAGCCAGAGGAATTCCAACTATAGGGACCCCGTGGTAAATAGCTTCATAGATCCCATTGGTTCCACAGTGAGAGACAAAAGCTCTGGTTTTGGGATGACCTAAAAATAAAATATATATATATATATATATTTATATATTATTCTAAGTTGTGAGAGTGTCAGAAACAGAAAATCATGATACCTACATAAGCCAAATTCTATTAGGTAACATCTTCTATATAATTCTGTGCCATGAGAACACATATAAATTCTTATCTGCTCTGAAGAAAGCAGCAATTAATTAGTCCAGGCTAAGTATAACTTGTGATTCCAGCAATTAAGTCATTCCACAGACAACTAAGAAGTTTCCTGCAGAATACATGGTGGAAAGTACTTGTCATTTGACAAGTTGTTGCAGGAAGAATATATTAATAAAAGAGAAGGGAGGGACTGAAGAAACTAATATTTTTGTCGATGGGAAAGGGAAGGTGAGATGTGCAGGGTTTCAATATGAGAATGTTGGCATAACAAGCTAGAAAGATAGGCTACATTAGTTCATGGTGTACTCTGTTAAAGAAAGTAAGATTTGCACTTGACTTTATACTAATATGCAGCCGTTTATATTATACATGAAATATAGGTGAAATGGTTGCTAGGTTTTATTTTTTCCATAGAGAAGAGAGGTGTGAGAAAATTGGTGAAGAGAAATAGGAGTGTGTTGCAGTATTCTATGCAAAGTTAATGAAAGCCTGATCTAACGGTACTTTCTCTGACATTGATCCTGAGGAGGGAGAAATTATATCATAAATGAGACAGCCATAAATTTGATATTTATGTTAGAGTTTGACAAAGATCCTTGACCAAGGTTTAGTCAGGTTCCGCTGAACTCTTCTCAACTAGAATTTGATTTTGTGGCTCCACTATCTCTGTATTGCCCAATTTTAGCAAGCATTCTACTAGGTCAGTTGAACTGTGCAATTTTCCATCCAATCAATTTCCACTATGTTCTTTTGTGATAAATTCCCCATTTTTATTTCTGCATACAAATTGTTTCCAGTCTCTCTGTTTTATTGCACTAATAACTGTACTTATGGTGATGGTCTTGAAATAAATGTGCTTTACAGTCTTTAACAAGTGTCATGAATAATCCTTTCTTTCAAAACTCATGAAGCAATGTGAAGATTTATTTTTTTTTCTTATTTTAAATACAAATTTGTTGATATTTGTTATTAAATAGTCATTCAGATTATACCTCATTCAGCTCTGTTTATTTTTCTTCTCTTTGGTCTTACCAAGAAGATCATTCTGTGGAATCCATTTATACAGCCGGGTATTGTCTCCTAGTGTTTCTGGTTTCTTTCCTAAGTATCTCCACAGAACCTATTAAGATAAATATTTTTACTAGAAGATTTTAGAATCATATCCTGTCAGAAGAAGTTAACCTACCCTGCTGACTCAGATGGTAAAGAATTTGCCCACAATACTGAAGACCAGAGTCTGATCCCTGGATCAGGAAGATCCCCCGAAGAAGCAAGTGGCAACCCACTCTAATATCCTTGCCTGGAATACTCCATGGATGGAGGAACCTGGCAGGCAATAGTCCACGGCATTGAGAAGAGTCAGACACGACTGAGTGACTTCACTTCAATCAAATCTGATGCCTCTAGGTAATGCACAAGCAAACTGAGTCCCTATGTGATCAGGTAATGAATGTTTTTAAACCATCAACACTATAACTATGTTTTCAAAGGTTTGCAATAACCCTAGTTAATAGCTTTTCATCTTCAGGTTAATTCTAACTTAACCCAATGAAGAAAAATGATGAAGATGTAGATGAAGAATGACAATCTGAATCTGAAAGAACTACATACTGGTGTTACTAGGCCACTCTGGTAAAGGGGATTTTTGAAACGAAGATTTCAGAGGCAAGGGGAGGGATGTTAATTACCTCTTTTGAACTACTGTTTGCATACTTACCGATAATGTAGACTCATACAGTAAAATATTCATAATCATATTTATCATTTTAAAGTATTCTAAGTCTAGAGTTTGGCGGCATTAAAAACATCCACATTGTGTAACCATCAATTATATGGCATGGCCTCCAGTCGCACAGTCATGTCCAACTCTTTGTGACCCCATGGACTGCAGCCTGCCAGGCTCCTCTGTTTATGGGGAGTCTCCAGGTAAGATTACTGGAGTGGGCTGTCATGCCCTCCTCTAGGGGATCTTCCTGACCCATTAGAGTTGGTGATGGATGGGGAGGCTTAGCGCGCTGCAGTCCATGGAGTCACAAAGAGTTGGACATGACTGAGTGACTGCAGTGAACTGAGAAAAAAGATGTCTCTCAGTTAAAACCTAGAATGATATCAATAAAAATTATAGCTTACTGGAACATTGTAAAGTATACTCCTATATCTTTTACTGTATTGTTAAAGAAATGTTAAAGAATCATTATTTAGGATTTCATTTAGGATTATTTTTAAGATTCATTATTTAGGATTATTAGAAGAATAATTATTTAGGATTATTCTTAGAATCTAAGCTCTTATTTCCAGGTTCAATTATGACAATGCTCAAAATCAGTAATTACTAGAAAATATAGCCCCAAGACCTTCTGAGAATCAAACCTATTATTTTGAATATCTTTTCCTTTAATCTCTGTCATGTTATTTGTAGCTTGTTTATATGCTTCAGATTTAAAGAAATATAAGAACATCAAAAACTGTTAGGTTACATGGATGCCTTAAAATCTAATGCACAAAGCTGACTGATGGTTTAACAGTAGAAAATGATTAATTTTAGTTTATTATTTAAAGAAAATACTGCAATAGAATTTCCCTTATAATGGCAGGTTTAAAGCAAGATAGCAATCAAATATCCCCTTTTATCATTTATACACTTTCATTAGAGCTCACTTAAGTTGAGACTAACAATATCAATACCCTTTCCTACATTTTACAAGTATACTTTTATTATGAACTTCTTGGATTTTAAAACAGCTGTCTCTGGGGGAAAAAAAGTATTATCTAACCTTCTGTGGAATCTGGGCAAGAGCTGATGCAATCACATTAGATTTTTCTTCTGAGAGGTTTCTGATCATTGACCCCAGAGTAAACACCACGACTCCATCTTTTCCAGAGCTTTGAACAAACTCTTCAAATTCCTATGAAGAAAACAGTCTTTGTAATATAAAAACTTACCGTTATAATGGATTTCACACTCTTCTCAATGTGTCTGAGTTATTAGAACAGTTCTGTACTTTCATATGTTAATGATTTCAGTGTATAATAGATGGCAAATTAAAAATTATTGTTATTAAAGACTCATGTAGTAAAGCATAATTGAGGTATGTGTGTGTCTTTGTGCTTGTCCATTTGTGTTTACAAATTATTGACTGACTGTTATCTTTTGCCATTTGCTGAGCTCTTTACATGTATCATTTAACTTAGATATATGGTGATTTTATGAGATATGTATACATTTACAGATGGGAAATCTATCTCCGTAAGGTTAAGTAATTTGTTCAAGTCTACACAGCAGAGGTTGGCATAGCAAATTTCTACATTTAAGTTAAATAGCTCTGGTGCTGCAACTTAGCCTTAGATGCTAATAAGGTTTTTTTCATTTTTTTTCTGTGGAATCATGGTCAGGAAAACGACACAATTTTGGTATATTTACTTTTCTCTGTTTTATAAATTTCTATTTTCTTTTACTTTGATTATATATACATTTTTGTATAAGCTTCCACATACACAATTAGCAATGAGGTAGCCATGTAACTCCTGACCAGACAAGTAATGCAGAAATACCTATAAAGCATACTCTGAGGATTATAGGGATATACTAGAAATATATAGCTTTGAATTGAAAACGAAAAACAACATATATAATCATAATGAAATAAATCTTTTCATCCTCTTTTTAAATACTAGCAAAACTAAGCCAGTTAACTATGACCAAAAAAAAGAAAAAAGAATGTGTGTGAGGCACGAAATGGAAAGACAGGGAAGATATTTATATTAAGGGACTTCTTACATGGTTATTGGAGAAGAAAATGGCAACCAATTCCAACAGTCTTGCCTGGAGAATGCCATGAACAGAGAAGTCTGCCAGATTGCTGTCTATGGGGTTGCAAATATTCAGACAACACTGAAGTGACTTAGCACTAACACACATGGTTATGGAGGATGTCAAATTTAATCTGCAGAACAGTACGTTAGGCTGGAGACTCAAAGAGCCACTGCTGTGGTTCAAGTATGAAGGCTGCCTAATGGCAGAATTCAGTCTTTTGTTCTATCCACATCTGCAATTAATCGAATGAGGCTTACCCACATAATGGAGAGTAATTAGTTTAATCAAGGTCCACATCTTTAAAAGTTGATTTCATCTAAAAATAGCCTCTCAGTAAGTTCTAGAAAAATATTTGTCTAAATACCTGGTTACCTGGTCAGGCAAGTTAACACTTAAAGTTAACCATTACACTGTTTAGAGATGATTTGACTTAAGATATAATGATATCTTTATGTTCAATTATCACATAGTATTCATAAGATACTAGGAAATATTTTAAAATTTATATAAAACACATTTTCATGAATAGTTAATGGACTTTGAACAAGAAAATAAAATATTGAGGACTACTTCATTAGATAATAATACATAATCCAAAATCCAAAATAAAGGCTCACCTTCTTACTGTAGTGTATAGACTAAGAAAATAATGATCATTAAATTCTATGTCTGTTTTCCCTGTTTGGGGATCAAATATTGTTAACAATAAACAAGAAATCATTTTAAGAGATAAATACTTATAGCCAGGTTGGGAAGATCCCCTGGAGAAAGGAATGGCAATTCCACTGAAGTATTCTTGCCTGGAAAATTCCGTGGACAGAAGACCATAGCATGCTACAGTCTATGGGGTCGCAAAGAGTCGGATAAGACTGAATGACTAACACTTCACACTTCATTCATGTAGGAAAATAATAAGCACATTTAATTACCTTAGGTAGGGGTTTTGCAGGCTTGCAGTGCAGTCCTCCAACAAATTCAGTATTAGGTAAGTAAGGTTGAGGAAATTCAAAATCCCAGTAACTTCGAAACAACCACATGTCAGCTTTCCCCATTATCTCACATAGTGTGGTAGGTTTTCCTGAATAAAAATGAAGGATAATAGAGGGAAAGGAATCTGATATGTTAAATGAGAGATATATCTTCACCTAATTTTCTAAGTAAATTCTTAAAGACCAATACTGAGCCTACGCAACCCAGGTTAAATCAATTGGCCTTTTACCCTGAAAAGTACACATAGTCAGATTATGAATAAGTAAACACAGATTTGGGCTTCCCTTTTGATTCAGCTAGTAAAGAATCCGCCTGAAATGCCAGAGATCTGGGTTCGACCCCTGGGTTGGGAACATCCCCTTGAGAAGGAAAAGGCTACCCACTCCAGTGTTCTGGCCTGGAGAATTCCATGGACTTGTATAGTCCAAGGGGTCGCAAAGAACCCCACACGACTGAGCGACTTTCACTTTCACTTTCAAACACAGATTTAAGTATGGAGCAAGACCAAAAGCCTGTTGCTTTCTCTCTGTCAATGGAGTCTTTCATCTTGATCTAAATCTGAGCCCACTCAGGTGCTTCTATTAAGTACAAGAAAGTTGGGAAGCGATTCTCAGTATTCTGTGGTAGAGTCACACCTTCTTTTCTGGAATTCCAATTTATCTCATCTTCATTGCTCCAAAAGCCTCTGATTATGTTGAAAACCAGCTTGCGTTTTACCCATCTTTTTTTTCTATTATTTTCAAGTGTGTTGCCACAACTAATTACATCCTGAATACTTTTAATACATTTCTTAAAAGGATTGTCTCCTTTGCTATAGTAAATGAAATTTCCTATTTTACAAGATTTTATCCTCTTGATGAAAATATTGCACTGCATAGTAATCTGGTGGTGAAATAATTTCTATTTTGTAGCATATCTTTCCCAGAGTTGTGGTGTCCTTTCGAAATATGTGCTCCATGTCACTGAGAGGAGGAAACCATAGCCATCTGGTTTCTCACCACATGGCTTTTTGAATATTTTCCTTGATGTTCTAAGTGTGCTAAAGGTTTTACTAGAAAATATAAGGGGTCTTGAACTCCTAGGAATATGTATCTGCATAACAGATCAAGGCAACTCTCAGTAAATGAAGGGTTTTATTCTGGTAATGACAATATCCACTTTCACACTCAGCACATATCTTTAGGAAAATGTACATAGGTTTTACTTTGTCATTTATTTTTTAATTTACTCTGAACTTTTGCGATAATATACTTTGAAGTTAATTGTAAACTGTTATATTTCTGTTTGGTAGAAAATAACATCTCCCAAATCATGATTCTATTGCTCTATAGGGTATTTTTTAACCATTGTTTTGTCTAGACTACTACTCTTATCCTAAAATTCCTTTATCTCCTGAAAGTTTTATAAAGAGTTTCTCAAGTTTTTGAAATGAATGCTGTTTTGGTTATTTTCTCATCAGTTATTTGAACATACTATGACATGCTTTAATGAATAATTTTATAAATCATTTATTAATTTATATTTTATACATAAATGTATATTTGTGCATATATTTATTATATGTTTATATATTTTATAATATGCATGAATGTATATTAATATAATATATTTATAATTTTATAGATAAAAGTTTCTAAATTATGCATTATATTTTTAAAATTTGAAAAACATATTTGTAATACATAATATAATGAAGATTTTAAATTCTCAATAGCCAAATTATATCTGTAACTTATAGCATTTTAATATCAATGAGAATAAAAAGAAATGTGTTTCTTCTATTTACCAAGTTTTTACTCTTCCTCTCAGATTATTGGTATATTCCACCAAAGAATAGTCTGAGTTACTGAGAATTACAGAAGAATCAGGGACAGAGCAATACCCTATCACTAGAAAAGATGTTCCTAAACTGAGTGTCAGACTGCTGGGATCAGAAGTAAACAACCAGCTTCAATCCAATTGTAGATCATTCAAAGCTTAATCCATGACTCAGCAAATGTCGCTTTCATGAAATTTTAAGTTATCTTTTCTCAATGTTGCCTTTTGTAGCTTGAACTCTCAACACGGACGTGTGATAGTTTCTGCCCACATTTTATAAGGCCATTTCTAGAGATATAAGCACCTGTTTCCGTCACAAAATGCCCAGAAGTTTCAGTGCAACATATTGACCTTGATTATGTCATATGCCTTTTTTTAAGATATTACATATTGCCGGACAGCAGAGTTCATTAGACACACTCTTGTTGTTTGTGAGTTGTTGAGTAATTTCGAAGAGGAAATTTTGAATAGACCTATTGTCACTCCCTTTTTTCAAGTGAAGTAAAAGTTGTTCAGTCATGTGCGACTCTTAGTGATCCCATGATTAGCGACTCAGAGATTCCATTCAGTCCATGGAATTCTCCAGGTAAAAATAGTGGAGTGGGTAGCCTTTCCCTTCTCTAGGGGATTTTCCCAACCCAGGGATTGAACCCAGGTCTCCCAAATTTTAGGCAGATTCTTTACCAGACAAGTCACAAAGGAAGCCCAAGAATACTGGAGAGGGTAGCTTCTCCCTTCTCCAGCAGATCTTCCCGACCCAGGAATCAAACTGGGATCTCCTACATTGCAGGTGAATTCTTTACCAAATAAGCTATGCACTTCACTCGAAAAAAGGAAAAATGAAGTGGGTATATAAAATAACAGATCACAACTATATCTTTTTTTTTTTTTTTAGGAATAAACACAATTTTTAGTAATGATAGGGTAGTAGAGATACAGCTGTTAAAACTAGTAACAAGGAAAAAAAATAAAAATTCATATTAAAATGAAAAAGTTCTAAACAGACAAATCAATCCTGAGAAAGAAAAACAAAGCTGTAGGCATCACACACTCTGATTTCAAGAAATATTGTAAAACTATATTAATCAAAACAATACGTGCAGGTTTAAAAACAGTCCATTAGAACAGAAGCAAAAGTCCAACGATAAGCTCATGCATATGTAGTCTACAAATATTTCATAAGGAAGCCAAAAATACTCAATGAAAGAAGATAGTCTTAAATAATTCTTACTGAAAAAATTAAAAGGATAGTCATATAGAAAAGAATAAAACTAGACTCTGATCTTACTCCACTACAAAATTATATTAAAGTGGATAAGAGGCTTAAATACCAGACCTAAGACCATAAAATTACTCAAAGAAAATTGGATTAAAGATTGACTGAGCATGGCCCCGCCCATTAAAACAAGTCCCAGATTTCCCCACAGTTCCTCTCTCCCATCGTCCTATACAGTCCAAGGAGTTCTCCAGGCCAGAATACTGGAGTGGGTAGCCTTTCCCTTCTCTGTGGGATCTTCCCAACCCAGGGATCAAACCTGGGTCTCCTGCAATACAGGTGGATTCTTTACCATCTGAGACACAAGGAAAGCCCATCCTGGAGGAGGTGGCCATTTAAATTAAGGCTCTCTTACTAATTTACAAAGTCAAGAGAGGGTATAGGCAGGAAGCCATTATTTCCGGAAAAAACAGGGTCCTATTTCGGACCGTGCAGAAGCGCGCCGGCTGCGACGGACCGGGCAGAAGCATGGCTGTGAGGAGCTACCCTTCTCCCAAGGTCAGGGGTAGCGACCGAGATCGCCAGGCTGCGACAGCACAGGAGCGGTAGCCGACAGGATCTTCCCCACGCCTGAGGTCAGGGGCGTCGGCCAAGAGGAACTACCCCACCCTGGAGGTCAGGAGCCCCGCCTGAGAGGAGCTACCCCACCTCCAAGGAACGGCTGCTGTGCTGGCACAGGAGGGCCAAGAGGAACTAGTCCACGTTCAAGGTCAGGAGGGGTGGCGGTGGGAAGATACCCCTCATCCAAGGTAAGGAGCAGCGGCTGCGCTTTGCTGGAGCAGCCGTAAAGAGATACCCCACGTCCAAGGTAAGAGAAACCCAGGTAAGATGATAGGTGTTGCAAGAGGGCATCAGAGTGCAGACACACTAAAATCATAATCACAGAAAACTAGCCAATCTGATCCCAGGACCACAGTCTTGTCTAACTAAATGAAACTAAGCCATGTTGTGTGGGGTCACCCAAGAGAGTCGGTCATGGTGGAGAGGTCTGACAGAATGTGGTCCACTGGAGAAGGGAATTGCAAATCACTTCAGTATTCTTGCCTTGAGAACCCCGTGAACAGTATGAGAAGGCAAAATGATAGGATACTGAAAGAGGAACTCCCCAGATTGGTAGCTGCCCAATATGCTACTGGAGATCAGCAGAGAAATAACTCCAGAAAGAATGAAGGGATGGAGCCAAAGCAAAAACAATAGCCAGTTGTGGATGGGACTGGATAGAAGCAAGGTCTGATGCTGTAAAGAGCAATATTGCATAGAAACCTGGAATGTTAGGTCCATGAATCAAGGCAAATTGGAAGTGGTCAAAGGGGACATGGCAAGAGTGAATGTCGACATTCTAGGAATCAGCAAACTAAAATGGACTGGAATGGGTGAATTTAACTCAGATGACCATTATATCTACTACTGTGGGCAGGAATCCCTTAGAAGAAATGGAGTAGCCATCATGGTCAACAA